TGGCTAGCTGGGCTTTGGCTAGCTGGGCTTTGGCTAGCTGGGCTTTGCTTAGCTGGGCTTTGCTTAGCTGGGCTTTGCTTAGCTGGGCTTTAGCTAACTGGGCTTTAGCTAACTGGACTTTAGCTAACTGGGCATTAGCTCATTTCTCATTTAAGATGAGAAATGTTGGACTGATGGATAGTCTTTTTTGCTACTGCTGGCAGATCCGAGTTGTTTTAAAGAAACAGCTCCACAAAAAAAAGGTTTTTGTTTTTTGGGGGTTTTTATTTTGCTGTGGATTCCCAGCAGAGCTCCAGCAAAAGGCTAACTTCTACCTGGAGGGTGGAGAGCAAAGCCCCAAGCTGCTATGAAGAAACTAAACCAAAAAAACTCCTGAAGAGCTTCTGCCTTCGCCCAGCTGACCGTGGTCCCGGCTGACCCCTGACCCCGTTGACCCACAGGAGAGCTCTCAGGAGGCTCGAAATGCCTGGAAATCCTCACCAGGCAGCGAGAGCCGAAGAGGCCTCCATAAAAAGGCTCTTCCTCACTGGACTGTTCTTTAGGAAATTTGGTTTTCATTTGGCTAATGAGGACTTTTGACAGTTCAAGTTTTAAGCAGCTCAAAGTCAAACCAGATCTTTCCTCAGGACTTCTGAGGATGGTTAATGTTTAGGGTAATGTCCAAACGGCTGTTTGTGGTCAGTGTGGGTCCAGAACACATCGCTCCTGTTTGGGATCCCTTACTTTATTATTTCTTTTTAAAGATTAGATTCAGCTTATTTTAAGCTTTAAATTATTATTTACCTGAGCTTTTCTATTTCGTCTAACCAGATGATTCCAGATATGCTCAGAAGCTGCTGGATGTTGTCTTCAAACCTGTTCCCTCCTTTTTTTTTTTTTCTCTACAGTTTTCTTTTTCCTTAACCTCAAATTGAGTACTGACAACTAACTTGTGCATTTTAATTGTATTTATTTATCGTATATTCATTTATTTGTCTTATCTTTATTATTATTAATGGCTCCGAGTGCCTGTAAAGCACAGCAAAGCGGCCAAAGCTTGTTCTTACAGGAAGTTTTTCCTTCCCAGTGTAGCCTAGTGCTGCTTTTGGTGGGAATTGTGGGGCTTCTGTAACTTCAGTGGTGGGCCTGCAAGGCCTAAGACAATATCTGAATCACATTATATTTTATCCATGGATACTTATTAAATATCTCTAAATAGTCTGTCCGCTTTCTTTCATAGCTTTTCCCCTGGTTGTGCAGCTTCATCTGAAAGCATTTAACCAATCACATTTCAGCCATCACTTGTCGCTAGGCAGGGTCAGAGTCAAAGATGTCTGCCTGGAGGCCTTCACAATCCGTTCTGTGGGCCCTCTAACAGAAAATAAGTCGATTAAACTTCTATAGTAGTATAAGACTTGTGCACCTCTGATCTTTATACTGTTTTTCTACATAATAAGATGATTTTTACAACCATAAAATAGTTATTGAGGGGGGAATTGATTCAGACGGAGCACTACTGAAGGCCTAGGTGTGAAATGTACGGTCCGCCATTGTGTAACTTCTCTAACTTTAACTTCAGAGCTCCGTTTGGAAAGCGCTATAATATGACTGTTGTTGTGATTTGGTGCTATATAATTGGAATTGAACCACATGTGCTGATGACGATCCCCCCCCTCCCCCAGGTTACGGCCACACCTCGCCCCTGTCCGACGCCGGGAAGGCCTTCTCCATCTTCTACGCCCTGCTGGGCGTGCCGCTCACCATGCTGGTGCTCACGGCCTGCGTGCAGCGGCTGATGGCGCCCCTGGTGGCGGCGCCGCTGGGCCTCCTGCAGCACGCCGGGCTGGAGCCGCGCCCGGCCGCCGCCCTGCACTTCCTGCTGCTGCTGCTGCTGGTGGTGCTGGGCTTCTTCGTGGCGCCGGCCGCCGTCTTCAGCGCGCTGGAGCCCGGCTGGTCCTTCCTGGACGGCGTCTACTTCTGCTTCGTCTCGCTGTGCACCATCGGCCTGGGCGACTTCGTGCCCGCCACGCAGCCCGGGCAGAAGCTCCGGGCCCTGTACCAGACCGCCGTCATGGGTGAGCTCCGTTTTAGTCTGCCATTTCCCTCTAAAATCAACAGAAACTGGCTGATTTTATGCATTTAATTTATTTATTTTTAATCAATTTATTTCAAAGGACATTAAAATTCAACCCGAACTCTTCCGATCATTTAATTTATTTTTACTAATCTTATCTAGATAAGACATCTTGTTTTTTCACTGTGAATTATTATTAATTTTTATTATTAGAATTTTTTCCCCTACTTTTGTAGAAATTTATTATTTATTTAATTTAGTTATTTTTAATTCATGTATTTCAAATGCAATCTGAATTCTTCCGATCAGTCTAATTGTTTTGATTTTTTTTTTATTTAATTTATTTTTACTAATGGTATCTAGATGAGACATCTTGTTATTCCACTGTAAAATATTCATTTTCATTAGAATTTATTTTTAAATGAATTTTTTACTTTTATTTATTCATTTTTCTTTTTTTTTTATTCAGGAATTTTTATTTCAGGGTGCTACACTTTAACGTGTAAAATATTCTGAACTCATTTCCTCAACACGCCCCATTTAGACATAAACAGAGTTTTATCTCTTTCTCTAAAATCGGCCCAAATTCTACTTTCTGCCTTCGAGTCCCTTTCTTTCTTCCCATCAGTGTCAGAGGTCAGAGGTTCCTGTAACCTCCACTAAAACCATAATATGGTGTTATTAGTGTAATCCAATAGGATTTGCTGGCTGTCTAGGTGGTGTTTTTCTCCAAAAGCCCGTTTGAGGCTCTATTTTCCTCTGCTGGGAGTCTGACTGCAAACAGTCAAATCCTCTGAGCTCCATGTGTGAGAGGGCGTGGCCTAAACGCCAGCCCTGATTGGCTGAGGGAGCTCAGGCCTGCTCTCCTGAGGACGGTCCTAGGCCTAAAGTCGCCACTGGGCTGTGAAAACAGTGTGGAGGTGAGAAATGTCCCCTCTGGGGGGGCGACCTGGTGACTGAGGGCAGTAAAAGGCTCCTTTTTCCTCTTCTATTTTTAAGCCATTAATAAAGTGCATCTTTAAAACTTAGTGTACATGTAACTCTGTTAGCGTAACATCTAAAACAGCACAAAAAAATAACCGATCGGATATTTTCATAAAACGATGGGAAAAAGTGAACTGGAGCCTTTTTTTCCTGTTGAATCGGCTTATTTAGCTTTTATTTTATTATAAATTTCAAAACCAAAAAATTTCGTTTTTAAAATTTTTTAAATTCTTTAAAAAATCCAAATGTATTTTTAATTGGTAATATAGTAAAAAATATATATTTTTGCAGGCTGAAATTCTTTTATTGGGCTGAAATATTTTTTTGGGGGAACGAATTCTAGGAATTAAAGTTTACTGTACTTGAGCTAGCTGTTTGTTGTCCAAACAAACTAAATTTTGGGGGTTTTGGCTGCTGAAAAATGCTCAAACCTCCTCAGTAAATCTGTCTTTGAAAGGAGCCGGAACCAGCTAAGATATGAGTGTTCCCTCTAATTCAATCAGGACTGGAATGAGCTTTTTGTCTGTTATCTGCACAGTGAGCCCTTCAGGGAACATCCGACAAAACGCTTAAAGCAGGAATGTGAATGAATGCACCCCCCCCCCTTTTTTCTTTTTTTTCTTTTCTTTTTAATGTATTTATTAGTATCCTTATTTTTGCTGGTGATGCATTTCCACCCTTGCTGGGTTTCTGTAGAACACCAGAAGTTTATTCCCTCATTCGGTGTTTCTTTTTTGTGTGTGTGTTTTTACCTTTGGGTGACCTGAGAAGTCACTTTTCTCAGAAAGAGTCCCACCGGCTGCATCTGGCCACGGCGCTCTGGGCTGGGCCGGTTAACCTGGAACAGGCCAGGGGGGGCTGGAAACAGTCTGGGGGGGCTGGAAGGCCCAGACCTGAGCCTCTGCTGACAATTGGAGAAAATATTTCTCGTTTTAAATGCACAAACTCACTTTGAGCCATCAAACCTTTTTAATATGAGAGGCTTTCCCTCTTTCCCTTCCCTCCAACATTACATTACTTTTTTCTCCTGTAAAAAAATAAGTGTGTGTGTGTGTATATGTGTGTGTGTGTATATATATGTGTATATATATATATAATTCTTAAGGCCTGTTTTGCTCTCTTGAGCTCCTCCAGTCCTTTTTATAGGGTCAGTTTGTGCATGATGACACCAGAGCAAATATTTTCACATGGCTGTTTTGGAGTTTGAACAGTCAGTCTCCCACCACCACACACACACACACACACACACACACACACACACACACACACACACACACACACACACACACACACACACACACAGCTGGAGCTCTGCAGCGATCAGACTCATTAAATGCTGTCAGTAACAGCCTGGAGCCGGTCGACTTCTCTGCTGTCAACATAACTAACGCCTGCTTTTTCTTATTTATTCAGTATTTAACTTCTTTAGCTGTGTGCTGAGTGGAGCAGGAAGCTGAGGCCTCTTTAATCCCAACTTGTTTACCATCCAGAGCTGAATTCTCCGGTTGTGAGGAACCCTGTAAATGCTGATTTGGACTTCAGGCCGAACAGAACCGGGGCAGGAGTAACAGCAGGGGTCAGCTCCTGTCCTCTGAGCGGCTTTAGTGGCCTTTAGATCCTTTTGCTCTGTGGTTATTTTCTAGTCCTGGTGGGCTTAAAGGGAAGTGTCTCTACATCTGTGTGGATTTGGGGCTTTAGTCCCTCTGGCTCCCATTTGGTTCCTGGAAGGATGAACTCTTTATCTCTCTATCAAAAAATTGAATATTTTTTTATTTTATATATATATATGTACATATAAGAAGCACAAGAAGTACTCTATACAATATGTAGTAACAAGGCCAGTAAATTCAAGTATGTTTGTGTATGTGTGTATGTATATCTAAATATGAAGTAATTAGATTTTTATATATATATATATTCAATTTTTCTAGTGTACTAAATCTAATTACTTCATATTTAGAGCTTTTTGTCTCCTCCCAGATAATCATGATGGATTATTAACCTCCTGAGAGCCCAGTCTTTCTTTGGTGTGCATTTTTATTTTGACTTTTTTTTCCAGATATCTGGGACCAGTAGGAGCTCATAAGTTTAGAAACTGGACTTTGTCCTGGTCCAGGTGTTTTTATTTTTTCTCTGACTAGGCTCAGTGCATTTATCTTTAGACTTTGAATGTTTGTTTATATGTTAAATGGAACATTTAGTTGTGGGGGTAGCTTGTTGCCCTGGTAACCTTTGGCCCCTCCCCCCTGCCTCCAGGTTACCTGTTCGTGGGGCTGATGATGATGTACCTGCTGCTGCGCTCCTTCCACAAGATGGCCGACCTGCACGGCCTGACGGCGCTGCTGCAGCTGCCGCGCTGCGAGGAGTCCGACCTGGACGAGGACCGCCAGCCCATCGTGGACCCGCCCCCGCCGCCGCCACCCGCCGCCGCCGGGGGCAAGGCCGCCGCCCGCCCGCTGGACCCGGGCCGCCAGCCGTCCTACAACAGCATCAGCAAGGGCTGACCGGGCGGTCAGCGGACGGCGTGGAGGCGGAGCCCCACTCCCGGGCCCACAGACTGACTCCAATCCCTCCTTTTCCCATTTTTAACCGGTAAAAAACACTGACCGGAGGGGGCCCGGGGTCCAGACATCACTGCTTCTACACATCTAGCCTGAGGCTCCACATCTGGCCGGAGGTCCCCAGATGTTCAGCCCCTCCAGAGGGGGGCCGGTGGGCCACCCACAGCGGGTCACAGGGTCGGGTCACTTCACCTGGTTTTCCGTTTGTTTTGAGCCCCACTAAGTCGGGTCACATAAGACACAACCAGTCTTGTATTTGTTTTTTTTTGTTTTTTTTATTAGTTTGTTTATGGATGCATCCTCATCCCAGACCACCCAGTCACGTTCACAGTGACTCACTAGTGCACTTTATTTCACTTAATGGCGTGTTTTGGGGCCCCTCTCCCGCGTATATTGGGTTAAAATGTGGAAAAATGGCCGGAAGAGCGGGTTTTTCTGTGTGGTGCTGCCCCCTAGCGGTCGGTCCGTGTACTGCTCCGGACTCAGAGGTTCAAAGGAGGAAAACTACAGGATTTTATTGGAAAAACCAAATGTCAGTGTGCTTTCTTTTGTTGTTTGTGTAAAATAAATACTATGCTTTAATTGTAAAATGTGTGAACATGACTTAAATGGATGGGTTACTGTAAACTAGATGCTCCGTGTTTATTTTAAATGTTCAGTCGCTGAATAAAAGTTGTGCCTCGCTTTAAAAATGCCCCGATTTCTTTAAGTGGTGTAGGAATAACGGCAAAATGTCCTGAGTGCTCGAGCAGACTCTTAAAACGCGTGCTTTTGATTTTAGTGGATATTTAAGTTTTTATGTGGACGTCAGCAAACCTTAAGGAGTCTAATTAAACCTGAATTTACCAGCAGCCAGTTAAAAATACACATTTAAGCCTTAATATTCCTTTTCAGGCCAATAGTTTTTCTATTTCAAACTATTTTAATACCCTCATTTGTCACAAAGTAATGCTAATTAGTCTAATTTCCCCCAAATTTAAGACAGAACCCCTAGATTTAGAATAATCTGAAATGTGAGCCATGGATGAAAAGGACCACTTTTCTCTCTTTAGACTTATTTTACTCTGCCACATTTTATTGGAATAAAAGCTTTCAATATCTTGGATCATGTTAACCATAAAGAGATTTATAACCTTTAAATCTTGGATTTTTTTTCTTTTTTTTTTTTTTAGAATTAATTGAATATTAATTGAATATTTTTAAAGTTCAGTTGCAGCTTTAAACAAACTCCAGATGTGATGAATGACAATCAGGTCCAGTGTTTCAGTTTAATATTTTATTAAACAATAATACAGTGTTTTTCTTTAAAAAGAAAACAGTTTGAGGTCATTCTGGCCTCCGTTTCGAGATAATGTTCAGATATCTTTACAGAAGATAAAAGTGGATCAAACGGTAACAAACCAGTGATTAGTCTTCATGGTGGGACTCCTAACGAACCGTTTAGTGACCCGAACACTTATAAATACACTTATAAAGACTGCAGAACGGGACGCAAACAGCGTCCGACAACAGACTCACAAACGCACATCATCCACAAAAGTGCAGCAATTCACGAGGTAAAACGGGTCAGAGCACCAGAACCCCCCCGGAGCCCCCCCGGCCTTCTGGGGAAACATGGTTCAGATAGCCGGGGGGCTCAGGGTCCCTCAGAGGACCTGGGGGTACTTTGTACCCCCCCCCCCCCCCCCCCCCCCCCCCCCCCCCCCTCGATCATGTGACATGAGCTGCTCTGGTTTCCTCCCTCTGGGCACCAGGAGGCCGTCCTTTTCTTTTAAAATCAGCCCATTGGCTCCTCAGACTGTGATGGAGGCCGTGTCCTGGCCCCTGATTGGCTGAGCCACTGCTTGGCAGTGAGAGGGCGGCGGCCACAAACCGTTTATGGCCGCCGCCATAGTTTTTTCACCGTGACCCGACGTGACAGATGAGCTGTAGCGGTCCCTAAAAGCCCCCCCCGCCCCCCCGGAGCCTCCTGGCTACTCTAGACTACTTCCTGGGTTAGATACGTAAAAAAAGAGATAGCCGGCGGGCGCCGTTCGGCACGCCAGCTGTTCTGTGAGCGTCCGGGTGGCGGCGGGGGGGGGAAAGGGGGGGGGGGGGGGGAATCAGGACTCCACCAGGATCTCCATCAGGTGGTCCAGGTCGAAGCCGTCCCTCCCCTGGCTCTGGGCCGAGGAGGAGGAGGAGGATGAAGAGGCCCGGGGGCTGAAGGAGGAGAAGGAGGGCAGACACTTCAGCGGGGGGGGGCAGAGGGGGGGCAGGAAGCGGAGCAGCTCGTCTCCGCCCGCCGCCGCCGTCGCCACGCCGCCCCGGAGCCCGAGCGCCCCCCCGTCCCTCTCCAGCAGGGCCATGTCTATGTCCTGGACCAGGTCCTCCGCGGAGGCCCCCCCCCCGGGCCTTCCCCCCTCCCCCTGCAGGTTCTCCACGGACCGGAGCGGCGTCCGTGGCGACGGCGGCGGGGGGGCGTCCAGCGCCACGTCCAGCGCCGTCAGGATGGAGGAGATGGCGGCCGAGAGGGAGAAGTCCGAGGGGTCCGCGGCGCCCCAGTCCTCCTCCTCCTCGGTTGCCATGGCGACGGCTGCGGGGGGCCCCGGCGGGGGGGCGGGGGCGGCCTCCAGGCTGGCCTGCCGCAGCGTGTTGGCCAGCAGCACGCAGCGGCGCAGGCTGGGCTCCGCCAGCGCCCGGCTGCGCTCGTACTTGTGCAGAGACACGGAGAACAGGAACTGATGCTGGGACTCCCACACGCCCACGCCATGGGCGGGGGGGGGGGGCGCCAGGGGCGGGGGCGGGGGCCGGAGGCTCGCCGTCCAGCGGGGGCAGCTTACGCTTCTGGGCCTTCAGAATCATCCTGAAACAAAGAAAGAGGCACGTTTACTGGAAGCTCTGGTCAATACTGAAACTCAGAAGTGCAATAAAGGAACTAAATTATCTAAAAATACAGCTTCAAGGTTCTGATTTAAATAATGTTCATCACAAAAAAAGAGCGATGCCAACTGCATTTTTACTCCTTATCCATTTGACTTCTGGTATTATTGGTTATAAAATCCACCTTAAAATGCTGAAACTCAGAAACTGCAATAAAGGAACTAAATTATCTAAAAATACGGCCTCAGGGTTATGATTTAAATAATGTTCATCACAAAAAACAGAGATGCCAACTGCATTTTTACTCCTAATCCATTCCACTTCTGGTATTTCTGGTTATAAAATCCACCTTAAAATGCCTTAAAATCCTGAAACTCAGAAACTGCAATAAAGGAACTAAATTATCTAAAAATACGGCCTCAAAGTTCTGATTTAAATAATGTTCATCATATAAAAAAGAGAGGCCAACTGCATTTCTGCTCTTCATCCATTTTACTTCTTTTATCATTTTTATCTGGTTATAAAATTCACCTTAAGCATGGTGAAGATGGATGGACAAATCCACCCAAAAGGCATGGGTGTATTTGTCCATCCATCTTCACCATGTTTAAAAAGTATGTTACACTTTTTTTAAAACTTCCTTTAGCTTTGTTTTATGAGGACATGAGCTAAAGAAATCTCATTTACTTGTTTAAAACTGACTTTTGGATGTCTGCAGAAACTTTGCTGACTTAGAGTTGACTCAACTTTATCAACTTTGTATTTTTCTTAAAGAAATCAGCCCTGTTTTAATCCGCATTCTGCTTTTTATTTGCCATTACATAATGATTCTCATCAGTAGTCGTATTTCTCATGTTCCCGAATCTTAAAACAAGCCAAAAAAAGCCAGCAAACGAGCTCATAACATTCAGATATGTCATTACACAGCTGTAAATTTTGTCCTAAACTTGGTTTTAATTTGCTCAGTTTTCTCCCACAAAAACTGGACAGTATTTGTCTGTTTTTCCTCCAGCTGTGGAGCTTCTTTACCTCTGGCTTTATGAACAGATCGGTACACTGATCAACTCTCCCTGTTAAGTTTTGACCACAAAATGCTGCAAATACTGGTCATAACTCGGGAGACATCAGCCTGGAGTGACCGGTGCCTTTGGGTCAGCGGGCTCACATTTCAGGGAGCAAAGCTCCAGCAAACATTGATTTTTCCCTCCAAACTTCACATGCTGCTTCAATCCCAGATTGCAAAAACTCAATAGGATCTTACATATATTCAGCAAAAATCTACTAAAAATCACAGCACATCAAGTTACTCTGCTAAAGCAGATGATTATTTCTGTATCTGAACAGATAAACCTTTTCGTGGCTATATTTGATATAGAGTTGGTGACATTTTAAGACTTTAAAAACACAGGAAAAGCTATACATCAGAAGTATAAATGAGAAAAAGTTATAACGTGGTGATTTCAAACTAAGTTTCCTGCCTTTTTTACACACTTAAGCTTTTGCCTGAGGGTTTTTAACGGCGTGGGGCAGAAAAAAGGGCCTTTTTCTCTCGGTTTTCCCGGCTGGAACCACCCGGGGAGCCGGTTTGAATGCGGGGTGGGGGTTGGAACCGCCGCGTAGGAGGGAAAAAAAGGCCGATAGAGAGGCCTCTCAGCAAACTTAAGCTAAATTTACCCAAAATGAAAGCCCCGTGACCTACAGAAACAGGCGAGGCCGTGTTTTACTCGCTTAAAAAAGCGTCCCAAAACCCAACTGGTGAACTTTAAACTGAGTTGTGAGCAAACGGCAGACAGACCTGTTGGGTCACTTCCCGTCTCTTCTTCGTGAGTTTCGTCGCTACTGTCGGTTTAACGAGTCGTTTTCCAGCTTCCTCTTCATTAAAATCACCTCGTGTAGCGTTAAAAGTCTCTCTCGGACCATACAGAAGTAAACTGGAGATTGAATAACTTCTTGAAAAAGCGGGCGCAGTTTAAATCCGCCTACATCACAGCTTCTTCTAGGCTAGTTGCCGAATCCCGCTCGTGATTTGAGTTTGACGCAGAGGGGACGTGACGGTTGGGGGTTGCACGCACAGGGGCATTGTGGGTAATGGAGTCTTAAAGGCGCCACATTCCAGCGGGTCGCCCTGTTAAGACACAAACGCGCAAAAAAACATAAAACAAACGCACATTAAACTTCTTTAATTTGCCTTAAATTAGCATTATAATCATTAGATTTAAAATAAATCGTTAACTGTTACTTGTATTAGCGGACAGCCGTCCAGATCAGAGTGTCCCTGTTGTCATAACAGTGATTCCTAAATGATTACGTCACCAACGAATGAGGCATTCCCATCTGAAAAGTGGTCTTTATCTAAAAGCAGGGTGCTCACAACATCAACGGAGACATTACAGGGCAAAATTGTGACTTTTGAACTCAGTTTAAAGTTAAATGCGACGATTATCTAGTAAAATAAACAGCTGAACAGATCTGTGACTCAAAACTATGCGAGACACGCGTGTGTGTGCGCACTTTACACCCAGTTTCAGACAGTTATTTACAGGGCAAAAGGATAAATAAAAACCCTGGGTCCCCCAAAGGTCTACACGTACACAGGAGAGCTTTTTATCTGGACAGACAGCTGCCTAAATCTGTCTTTTTAATGCAACGAGGATCAGTGTTACCTGGAAACTTCATCAGTCACGAAGGATTTAAAGCAGCGAGACTTCCTGCAGCCTGTCAGAATCAGTGCTTTCGCTTTTAATTCTAACAGCACTCTTCTCTGACACATTTGAAGTTAAAAAAAGCCGAAGCTCCTCCTCCGTCCTCTTGGCTTGTGTATTGGACACCAGAGGAAAAAGGGTTAGGGCTACAAAACTGCTTCCGGTTTCTTCTTTCATACTGTAAAGTCATCTTATGAGTGTGGTTTGGCTCCTTTAAAGGGATGTATGAGCCTCCAGGACAAAGCCAGGGGCCCCCATGTGTTGGTGTGTAATTTACTGGCTTATCCTGAACCAAAAATGATCTCTAACCTCACCTCCAAATCTCCAACCCTTAATTCTTTATAAGGTTTAAATGGCAGATTTCAGCCATTAAAACGAGACCCATCCCACTCAGTTCAGTTTAAGTAAACTAAAGCAATAATACAGCAAACCCTCTGTTAAAAATTCTTAATCTGGCCGTCATATCTTTGGATTTTTCCTCCAAGCAGCCTGAACTCTTCAGGATCTCATCAAAGTCTTTATTTAGTCAACTGACCGATGAATTATTATCGGATTTGAAATAAAAACGCTCTTTATATTGATCTAATTTCATGACTTGTTTGATTTATTCAGACGCCAAAAACGATAATTGATTTTCCAGGAGAAAAAAGGGAGTTTCACACCACCTCCAGCCTAAACAATAACCCTTATAGATGAGTTTAGGCCCAATAAGAAAGAGCTTTTTGTTTAATTTAAAGACCTCTTGGCAAAAGCAGCTGTGCTAATGAGCACAACTCCTTTTAAACTCTTTCCTCTGAGACGTGAGAAGAAGAAAAATCTCAGAATATAACGGCTCTATTCAGAAGATGCTTCTCCATAAACAATTTAAATGAGATTGTCAGGTTAAATCCACTCAAAACCAATAAAAACAGGCCTTTCTTTTTTTTCTTAAAACTTTATTTCTTTCAGTCTAGATGGCTGAATGTAAAATATGGCTGGTGGACACAGAAGAAAACCTAAACAGGCGTCGGCCATCATTTGTACTCCCCCCAAACTCCCACCGTCTTTCCGTCCCACTCGGCCGTGGACAGACACCGGACAAAGAAGTGGCCCAGGTCGTGTTTGGAGATGGCTCTGCCTTTCAGCATCTGCTCGGCCACCAGGTAGCTCTGGGTCAGAGGGAGGTCGCCTGGGGGCAGACGGAGAGGAATTCACATAAACTGTACTCGAATTAAACTATTCATTCGTCCACTTAAGTCCCCCAACAGCCAAAAAACAGGACGCAGGATATTAAATAAAAAGACAGATTTTTTAATTCTAACAATAAATACTGTTGATGGTGTTTCTGCCTGATTTGTTCTTCACCATAAGAGATTTGAGACTTGATTAAACCTATAAAATTGAACTTTTCTGACTATTTTAAACAGTTTTTATGCCCTTTTTTTCCTTTTTTTACTCAGCATCCTTTGTATTGGATAATAAAACAAAAAGACAGATTTTTAATTATAACAATAAATATTGTTGATGGTGTTTCTGCCTGATTTGTACGTCCCCATAAGAGATTTGAGACTTGATTAAACCTATAAAATTGAACTTTTCTGACTATTTTAAACTGTTTTTATGCCCTTTTTCCCCCAAGAGTCACTCAGCATCCTGTGTATTGATATTTATTTAAAGATCTTTCCCAGAAAAGTGCCCGTTAGACCGACATCGCTCTGAATAAAGTGTAATAAAATTAGTTTGGGAGTGAATTATCAGTCTCCACTTCCTGCTGACCAGCGATGTGAGGAGGCATGACGGCCACGTAGTCCAGGCCTGACGTCTTCAGCTCGGTGTACATCCTGTCGTGGTCCTCCGTCACAGGGAGGAGGCGGGGGGGCACTTTGGATCGATCCCACAGGAGGAAAGCTGCAGGTGAAGTTGAATAAAAGCGACACAGACAATGATTTAGACTCAGAGACACACTTTTCTATTCAATCTATTAATCAATCAGGATAAAGAAGAACCCCTAAAATGGGTCAAATTACATATTTAAACTCTAAGATGCTTCATTTAAGTTTAAAAAAAAGGGTCAAATGACATATTTCAACTCTAAAATGCTTCATTTAAGTAAAAAAAACTGTAAGAATGAAGGTTAAAGTTCAGGCTTTCTTCCATTCTATGCACCCTTCCTCAGAAATAAGTCTCTAATATTTGATTTCATAGCCTCACAGACCCTGGGAGATATTTCAGATCTGCACAGCTTTGGGTCAAACTGCCTCTGTGCTCTGTCCACTTTTTATTCAGGCCTCTTTCAGCCAGCCGAGTCCATCTGTGGTCTCCCCAGAGTCAACCAAAGAGCAACGAGATAGGACTCTGAAACCCAAACCCCAATAAAAATTCTTCAAAATAAAAGAAAAAGGCAGATTTTTATGCTCAGACTTCTTTTGCTTCTATTAGTTTAGCTCCATAAGTTTCCCTGCTAGGATCCAAGAATCAGAGTCTTATCTTTTCCTCAAAAACAGCATAGAATTTCATTTGTTTTACAGGCGTTTTGGTTGCAGAGTTACCAGGTAAAATGTTCCTCCCAATAAAAACGATGGAGCTAACCATGTTAAAACATATCTGCTGTTTATAGATTAATCCCAGATCCGGGTCTGAGGAGCTCCAGCTGGTCTGCCTTCGTCCTTCTGACTGTTCTAATGATTAAAACCATGATTTAAACTGAGCTCTTCTTCCATTCAGCCTCACCGGACATGCAGCCGACCACTTTGCGGATCCCCCGGGACTTCATGGCCTCCAGGATGTTCTTGGTGCCCTCGGACATCATGGTGGTCGGACCTGAGGGGCAAACAGAAACGTCCGGCTTCAGGGTGGAGTTTCTTATCTGGCTTTTTTTGGTTTAGACTCTGTTTGTTGATCTATTCTTGAAGTGACTTTTTTTCAAACAAAACACGTTGACACCATTTGCACAATGAACCAAAACTAAATAAAATAAGTAATTAATTCAAATGAATTCAAATTCAAATTACATAAAACAATAACAATGATTACAATTACAAATATTAATATAGAAAGAAAATCTGCTCCAAATAATTAAAAATCCTATTTTAATTTAGATTTTTGAATGGAAGTACAAGCAGCTTCAACTTTTATATTTATCCAACAGGTGGCGCAAGCATGCAACAAAATTTCATTTTTTAATATTTTCTGCTGGTAAAATGCAGGTTTTACAGCAGAGCTATCTAATCATTCTTAGAGATAAGCGTAATAAATATTTTCAAATGTGGTTTACAAGTTTATTTTATTGAGATGAAAGTGTAAAAAACAACTTTTCCCCAGTTAAAAACTCCAGTTTGTTCTTTAATTTATTTCTAATTAGAATAACATATTTGCATTGAGCCTTAAAACTGAGATTTGGTTAAAATCTTCCTACAGCTGTCATCAGTTTAATGGAAATAAATGCACTTCTGGCACCCGACAAGGTGATTTAATCGGGTGGTGTGAAACTTATCGAGACTCTGGTGAAGGTTTTGTGTTATTGTGCCATTAGAGATGATTTTTGCCCAGTTTGTAGCCTCAGGAAATTGACTTTATCCCCCTGGTTGGGAAATAAAAGCAGGGAAACCCCGCCGTCTACCAAGTAGGAAGCTCTTAAAAACTACTTTTCCCAGAGTTCCTCCTCTCAAAAAAAACAAACCCTGACTAAACTGGCCTTCTTTTGTCTCATGAACTGAACCCAGCCGGCCCAAAGACCTGCTCATCCTTACTGAGATCATTCCTGGTTCCCAGGATGATGATGACGGCATCCTGGCCCTCCATGGTCTTCTTCACGTCCTCCTTGCTCAGGACGTCCCCCACCACCACTCGGGCCGCCTTGTGGTCGGCGGGCAGCCGGCCGGGGTCTCTGACCAGCACCGTCACGTTGTACCCTGAAAAATATTAAGCACAAAGACACATCCCCTGATTTATCTGGTTTGGGGTTTGTTGTAGGTCATTTTTCCTTTAAAGTGGAGGTCTTCAACAGGAGGTCCGCGACCCTTAGGGGGTCCTGGAGGTACTGCATGGGGGTCGCCAAAGTTTTGGTTGATTAGACTTTTTTTTAAATATATATTCCTCCCCTTGAATTTTTTCCACTAATGTAAATGTCTTTAAATCCACATGACCATGAATCCAACAGACTGTAAAAAACAGATAAATGGAGGCAGAAGATGTCTCACATTCAGCCACACACAGGAGCTCTATCTATCCATCTATCTATCTATCTATCTATCTATCTATCTATCTATCTATCTATCTATCTATCTATCTATCTATCTATC